CCTCCTCCTCCTCCTCCTCCGCCTCCTCCTCCTCTGAAGCACATGTGTTCCTAGGTGCGCGTCGTACCCATTTGGGGTTGATCCGGCCGTGAAACACCCAGTTCCGCGCCTCCACGTCGGCGCTTGAGGGGCACCGGGCAGCATCCTTGTCCAGCGACAGTTTTCCCGGTAGCTAAGCGGAGCGAATACGATCAATGTATGTTTATTATGCCGTTCTGGGCTTTCGAGGGATCCGCATTTGGTGCTATCATGTGCCTGGTGGGCAACGTGTGGCGATCTTGCAAGCTGCGAGAATACGTCGCGGCCCATCAGCGCTCAGTGCTTGGCCCACAGTGCTTGATTCTGAGCGTGCGAAAAAGGCAGGCAGAGGCAGCGGGTGGTGTCGCTGCTGAGCGAGGCGGAAAGGCGAAGTATGCGCCAACCGTTTTCAGCTACAATGCTTGGATCAGCACGTGCGAGAAGGGCGGGCAGTGGCAGCAGTTTTGTAAGACGCGGCCCGTCGGCATGTAGTCCCCTTCAGTGCCACAATGGGCCCGCGCCGAACCGTGCACAGCATCATGGTTCGACTCGTTTGGTGTGCACGCTTGTTTGTCCATTTCCCTTATTCGTTGATTTGGTAAATTGAGGAATCAGTCGATATGCGGTAGCAGGTCACACGCCTTTATGGTCAGCGTGTTTAGGTTGTGGTCAGGCAGGCTGTTTGTCCAACGAGTGCTTTCCATTCTCGTCTCTCAATTCATCAATACGCGCAGGTGGTCAATTTCTCGTGCGGGAAATGCCGAGGGACATGAGATTAAATATCCGCTTAGCCAACAAGGTGAAGGCCTTATGTTTCATGTTACAAAATGGTGGGTTGAGATATATCACGTTCCTATCGTTCGGCGGCGGGTCGCGTGGCTATCAGAGGGGGCTTCGGTTTTCACAGTGGTGGCATGCACTGGTCGTGAAGTTGTCGCCCCTGTGAAGGTCAGAGGGGGCATCATCACATGATCAGGGTTGTATCGCACATGCGATGGCGATAGTCATGGTAATCTTCCTCCTCCTCCTCCTGCTCCCCCTCCTCGGACCCCACCACAGCTCCGTGAAACGCAGTAGACGCAGTAGACCAGTAGAAAGGGGGAAGGAGGAGGAGGAGGAGGAGGAGGAGCTCTATAGCAGTGATCCTTCGCAGGAAAGTGGTTTGGCAGAGTGTGCCCAGATTGCAAGGTAAATTTCCGAATGGGAGCCGGAGCGACTATCAGCGTGTGAGTTGGGAGCGTGCTTGTGGGGCGTGGCCTTTGTGGCAGCCCCTCTCGACGGCCCCAGGGAGGCAGAGGATTGCGCAGCATGTTGGAATGCTGTAGATGTGCAGATGTTCATATAATACGCCTTGCTGACGTTGTGCTGGGCGTATGCAGCAAGCGATGGACATTCCCGTGAGGGGTGTTCACAGAAAGCTGTTTGCACGCGCATGACCAGACACTATCTCTAACACGGTAAACGGGAAACACGGACACAAGAGGAGGGGGACGAGGAGGAGGGGGTGGGATCCGCGGACACGAGACCGTCTCGACAAGGACTGTTTCCGCTGGCGGACAGCTTCGCCAGCCCCCGTTTCTCCGGCTGGCCGTCTCACGAGTGGGCCGCCGCGCCGGACAAGGAGCAGGAGGTGGGGCAGGATTCACCATAACAGAAAGGCGTCCCAAGGGAAACGGGTTTTCGACCCTGGGACGTTCCCCCGGACCAGCTCTTCATCCTGAGTCATCCTGGGGCCAAGGGAAGCCCCCAGGAGCTCGAAAGTTGCGAGAATTGACTCAGGAACGTTTCTCTCGGGACCCGAGGATCCCAAGGCTGCCAGGTCGGTGAAAGTCCGCATCGTAGGGACGGCCGTCGTCTCGGTCGCGGTGTTTCTTGTATGGTTAGAGTGGTCGGTTGTCCTGTCCGGGGATATGTTGTCGTGCTTGCTGTAGGGCTGCTAAGGTCGTTGCTTCAGACCTGGGCGACATTACCTTGTGACGTACCCAACCCATTTGCATCAAGTGACAAGAGGGGGGGCCAAAACTTGGCAGGACAATGACAGTGCAGGCTCCGTTCTATGTTGTGCAAGCTGCGTGGGATGCGTTCACGTGGCACGATTCACAGAATAAGGACGAGGAGCGAAGGCCCAGACTTGAAGAGGACATGGGGGCGGGAACGAAAGGCAGGAGAAGGACGCGTGGAGGGCCCACCCGTCAGCGCGGCAGCAGCAGAGGGAAGGTGGAAGGTGGCAGAAGACGACGACGGAAAGTGACGGAAAGACACCGAAGAGTGATGTGTTGTCTGTAGTTCGCTAAAGATGCAGCGTTGCCTGTACCATGTCGCCGCGGCGCTCGACAACATGATTCAACCTGCGTATAGTGTGTGCAAGAAGCGAGCGAGGCCTAGCTCCCCCGCCAACTTCCCTGGTTTCTTCCTGCCTTTTTCTTTAGTGCGGGAGCCAAACGCTCGAAGGCGCGCCGCCAGGTTTGCGGGCGGCCCGCGACAGCGCCCCGCTGGACCCCCCAGCAGCCTTCGACAGTGGCGACACTTTCGCAGACTGCAAAAACACAAGGACGGCGAGGTTTAATTTGAGTCCACGTAGGACGTCATTCCGCTGGACCCCCCAGCAACCCGCGAAAATGGCGACAGTTTCGCAAATCGCAGCGCTCAAGGATGACGAGGTCGAATCTGAATCTGCGTGGGACCCCACTCCGCTGGACCCCCCAGCAGCCGTCGAAAGTGGCGACACTTTCGCAGAGCGCAGCCCCCAGAAATGACGAGGTCTTATTCGAATTTGCGTGGGACCCTTTTTCCGCTGGACCCCCCAGCAGCCTTCGAAAGTGGCGACAGTTCCGCAGATCGCAAACCCCCAGGGAGGACGAGGCCTAATCTAAATCTGCGTGGGACCCCACTCCGCTGGCCCCCCCAGCGGCCTTCGTCGAAAGTGGCGACACTTCCGCTGATCGCAGACCTCCAAGGATGACGAGGTCTAATCTGAATCTGCGTGGGACCCCTTTCCCGCTGGATCCCCAAGCAGTCCTCGAAAGTCACGACGTTTTCGCAGATCGCAGCCCCCCATGGATGGCGAGGTCTAATATGAGTTTGCGTGGGACCCCACTCCGCTGGACCCCCCAACGGCCCCCCAAAGTGGCGACAGTTTCGCAGATCGCGGCCCCCCAGGGATGGCCAGGTAGGAGGCAAGCTGGCACCCAGGAGGGAGCGAGGTGAGAAGCAAGAGAGAAGGGGAGAGGGAGGCAGCAGGAAGGAGGATGCGACCACAGTGCTCTATTCAAAACGAGATCCCAACGCAGGAGGGTTGGGAAAAAACGTGGCATCCAGTTTCTGTACGTATCCCGCCTCTGGAGGCCGTCCCCTGGCCCCAGGACCTGGAAAGGATCGAGATCCCTTGGGGCCGACGTCACGAAAAAATGCGACGTCGGAGGAGAGGTTTGGTGTTCACGATTGGGTTGTTAGGGTTGATCTAGCTGCTCATTTGCAGGCTGCTTAGGTCGGTCGTACTCGTGGCAAGGTCGCTGGATTCAGTCGAGGCTGCTGGCGTTAGTGGCACTCGGTGTGGTCAAGGCTCTCCCGATGGTTCGTCTGGGACTACGATGTACTTGTAGGTGTGGATCTTCGTGGTTCTGCACTGGTCTCTGTTGGCCGGACGTGTGGCCCTAGCGGCGACGGCCGCGCCGACCAGCGTGAGTTCGGATGTTCGGACGTGATGTTCGAACGTCGCGCGTCCGCGGTGTTTCAATGGCGCGCGCAGCGTGCCAATCTTGGCGAGCAAATGACTGGATGGGCCTCGGCAACTTCATTGGGCGGGACCAGCTGTGGCATCGTATCCGTCCCTGGGGCATTGGCGAGGGATACCCTTTGTCGGGTACGACCTCGCAGAGCATGGGCTCCTCGTTCGGGCGCTTGGCGATCGCGGGCTCTGTGCCAGCTGAGCCCAGCGGCCGCCCCAGCGCGAGGGCGCCCGCTGCGGCGCGGCGGGGCGCGTCACAGCTGGCGGGCGCCCCACCTTGCCTGCCGCCCTCCCGCTCCCCCCCCCTCCCAATCGCGCCCCTTCTGGTGGGGCTGGGCGGGGAAGGCCCCCCCCGCGAGAGGCAGCGGCTCCTTGTTCGTCACACCGACGTTGATCGAAACGATCGCCGCGCCTGATCGCTCGTGCTGCAAAAAAATAGGAGAGCACATGCGTGAGCGCAACATGAACATACGAGCGGTGCGTGCGCAAGAGGAACAAGAAGGGCAAGTAGAAAAAGGTGGGAAAGTGGAAAAGCCCGCCAAAAAATAGAGAAGCGCACATCGGCAAGGATGCACGGCAGCGGCTCTCCCTCTCCTCCTCGAAGGTGGGAGGGGGGACGTGGCGGGTGTGGCGGGGGTCTCCCCGAGGCGTGGATGTTCGGGGCGCAGGCCCCTCCGAAGTGGTGCGGCACGGACCTGTACAGGACGTTCCAGAGCCCAAACATCCCAGGCAGTGCCACAGCGGGGTCGGCAATACTCCAAGTTGTTCTGTCAGCGTGAGAGGGGTAGGAATGGGCTATCCTTCGACGGGCGCAGGGGGGATACTGGGGTCGAGATGCTGAAAGAAGGGCCGCGTTGGGTCAGAAGGGGCTCTGGTTTTCGGGCCGTTCCGTAGATCGAGGTCGGAGAATTTATCAAGTCGCTTCGCTCGTTCCGCCGGCCCACATTGCGCACCGTGGTCGACTGGCTGCAGCGATCTTTGGGGCCTCTTGAGGGTATTTTTGGAGCGTCTTGGAGGCCTCTTGGGGGCCTCCTGGGGGCCTCTTCAGAGCCTCTTGGGGTTCCTTGGCGGCGTCTTGTGGGCCCCTGCAGCCTCTTGGGGGGCTCTTGGGGACCTCTTGGGTCAGGAGGGAGGGTAATCGATTGCGCCCCTCCCCTCGGAGGCCACGATCCTCATGAGGGGTGTCGAAAAATTGCCCGGTCTGGCATCTCTGATCCGAGTGTCCCAGGGGTCTCCCGGGGTACTTTTCGTCCGGGGACCCCCAGGGGCGGCCCCGCGCGCGCGAACTAAAATATTGTCAACCAGTTACCGGAGATCTTTCCACGCCCTTGGCCCGTTGGGCCGGCGAATTCGTAGCCGAAGCTCGCCGCGGCCAGAAAGCCCGTTCGGTTCTTCGGCGTTCCTTCTGGTAGCATGATGGCTCCAGGTGGTGGGTTCGGTGCGCGGAGGGGGGAGTGGTGGGCGCGGGGGCAGAGCGGGCTGTCAGACGGGGTGGCGTTAGGGTCGCCACCTCCTGAGGATCGAGGAGCGAAAAAATATATGTGAAGGCTTTGGGGCGCTTCGGGTGACTCTGGGGAGGGAAGGGCGTCCTGGGGAGTCTTCCCCTCGTCCTGGAGTAGGGGGTTCGCCACCTCCTGGGGATCGAGGATCGAAACGGTTTATGGGCGCTTTGGCAGCGCTGCGGGTAGCTCAGGGAGGGGTGGGGGGGGGAGGGGGGGTCCTGGGGGGTCTTCCCCTCCTCCTCCTCCTCATCCTCCTCCTCCTCCTCCTCCTCCTCCTCCTCCTCCTCCTCCTCCTCCTCCTCCTCCTCCTCCTCCTCCTCCTCCTCCTCCTCCTCTTCCTCGGGAGGAGGCGGTGACCCTCGTAGTGGGGATCCCCCTCTGGCATTAGCTGGAGCATCCTGGCCACCGATTTCTTCCGCTCGTGCTGGTGGCGGTGTCACCGCGGGCTCGTCAAGGATGGCATGGCAGCGGACGCTGCCAGCGACATGCCAGCACATCCCAGCATTCAGCTCGGGGTACCAGTGTTTGACATCCACGTGCGCCTCGTGGACGTAGACACAAAGGTGGTCCACTGGGACTCGACATACCACCTGCGGTGCCCTGGCCAGCTCGGGCAAGACGAGTCGTCGAACGGAGGCGAGAAGCCGGACTTTGACTCGGTCTGCCCAAGCGCGGAGGACCAGATACCGAGGCGGCTGGAGCTTACCGTGACGAAGGTCGGCGGCGCGCAGGGGGACGTGACGCGAGGGGAGGCAGCCTTGAAGAAGGCAGGGGCGTGTCAGAGGTCCGCACGCCATCCGAGGATGCCCCATTGAAAGCCTCCGACCTCTCAAGATGGCGGCCTTGCTGGCCAGAGTTGAGGCTGAAGAGGAGGCGAAGCGCTCCTCCAGAGAGGTCTAAGCTAGGGCCGATCTCTTGTATCGCTTTTGATGCTGCCACCTCCCGACCTTTCTGAGGCGTCGATCTATCTGCCTTCTGAGAGCCCCCTGCCTTCCTAGAAGGTCGCCCCCCTCAGTTTGACCCCGACCAGGTACCGCTCACAACTGGACCCCAGACCCCTACAGGGGTACATCCTGGCCAATTTTACCAGCCGCGTCCAGCCATGACGGCCAGGACTCCCAAGATTCCCAATAAGCCTCCAAACTGGCGACGTCGTCGTTTTTTGCGCCGCCAAGAAGGAGCCGTACTTCGGGCCCGAGGACTTCATAGGGCGGGTCATTGCCCGCACGGCAGATCGACCCGGCAGGACGGCCTCCTTCCTGGACTCCGGAGGGCCCCCGTCCGCGCGGCCGACGCGGCGGCGGCCGCCGCGCGGGCGCGGCTGAGGGGCCGCCGATGGGGCACGGCCCAGACGTCGTGCATGCCCCGGACCTCGGCTGGCAAAAATTCGGGAATCGAGATTCGAGGGTGAGTCTCGCAACGGCTTTTCGACAGTTGCTGGCCTCTTTGGAGCTTCCGAAGGCGTCTGGAGGCCTCCGCGAGACCCTCTGGTAACATCCAGGGATCTCCGGAGTTGTTTCCCCGACGCCTGAAATTGGGGGCGTTAGAATGTTATCCAGGACGACAACCAGCCCCGTGGACCCCAGGGAAGGTGTCGAGAGCTCCAGGGTCCACAGATCAACAAGATCAGTCCGCCACAGGCATTGGTCTCGTCAGGGCACACGTCGGGGCTTTCGGGCTGGGGGCGTGGGCTGAACGGGAAGGCCACGCTTCGCGCTCGTCCTTCTTCTCAGCCTCAGCCTCCTTGGCCCCCTCCTCGTCCTCGCCGTCCTCCTCCGCCTCCACATCCTCCTTATCATCCTCATCATCGTCGTCGTCGTTGTCGTCATCATCATCGTCATCGTCATCCCCCTCATTATGCTCCTCCTCACTGACTTTCATTATCATCTTCACGGAGTGCCACTCTTATTGATTCATTGGCAGGTGTTTTCCAGCAGCAGGGTATCTAATGGCCGTCGGCCCATCCCGCCACCGTGCTTGGGTTGTGGGTATGAAGCCTATTGGATGTTCGTTGGGATCTCGTGGGAGGCCTCTCGAGGGCCTCCTGGAGGCAGTTTGGAGGCATCTTGAGGGCCGTTTGGGAGCCTCTTGGGGCTTCTTTGGGACCTCTTGGGGCCTCCTGGGGGCCTCTTTGGGCGGAAGGCTCGGATTTTCGGTTCGTGGTCCCTCCCTTCTGCCACTTTTGGGACCGTCTTGTGGCCCTCGTGGGCCTGGGCCGCCGTAGGGCGCTCTGAGGCCGTCTTGGGGCCTTATTGAAGGCCTCTCGGGCTGTTTTGGAGTGGTCTTGGGGACCTCTAGGGCCGCTTTGGAGCGTCAAAAAGCCCGAAAGGCGAGAGCGCCAAAATTCTTCACAAACTTATGGGGATCAATAATTGTTGCCTCTTGCGGCCCTCTTGGGAGGCCTCTTGGAGGCCTATTTGGGAGTCTTGGAGGCCTCTCAGGCCATCTTGAGGCCATATTGAGCGTCTTCGGTCGATCTTGAGCCGTCTCGGGGTCCTCTTGGGCCGTATTGGAGGCCGCTTGGGGCCCTCGTGGTCAGTCTTGGAGCCTTCCTGGGCCCGAAAAATTCACGCGCCACCACTTGGCAAAGTCCAGGGGGCACGCGGGAAGCCCCAAGAGCTTTCGGAATTTGGGGTCCAGGCGTTGTGGGATTGAGGCTTAAAGGATTGGGCCCAGGACCTGAGGACACGCCTACTCCGTGCCCAGCGGCACGGAGGAGGATGCCTGATATTCGATGTCAATGAGAGCACGAAGGGCCAGCATAGGGGGAAAGGTGCTTAGTCATTCACGTTTCTGCAGAATGGCGGTAGCCTTGGATTCCTTTTCTTGAACCAAACATCACCAGTTCTGAATGTAAACTTTGACGTCGTGAAACCCTTCAGCCCTCCTCGAAGCTGTTGTGCTTGCTGGCAGGCTCGTCAACCCACCAGCTCAATTACACAGTAACTCCGCTGAGCTGCCTCAGGCTCGCGTCCTCTCGCAAGTGAAACTGAAACAGCCTCGGCATAGGAAATCTCACTATCTGAACGCTCTCTCTCTCTCTCTCTCTCCCTCTCTCTCTCTCTCTCTCTCTCTCTCTCGTTCTAGCATTCTCGCGCGCCACGGTCTCTGGAGCTGATCAAACCCCGCAGTATCTCCCCAACGGTCAAGCATCGCTTCACATCGCTCGGGCGTTTCGGACCTGCCGTTGAGGATCTGTGCATCATCATGTCACCCAAACTCCCCAGTCCCTGACACCGAGCGGGGTTTACCTCCCGTCGGCCTCGTGGCAAAGCTTGCTCCTGGTCTTGTACGTCACTGGACCTTGCACTCCAACTGACCTGAACTTCTTTGTCTGCACCTCTGGCTCTGGCGAGGCATCTCGCCTTCGCCGCCTCGACAGGGATGCCTCCAGCTGCAAATCTCCATTTCGAACAGCCTCTGGTACAATGTGCAATGGCGTAGTCCATGTCTCTATCTCAGCTTCCGTTGCCCCTGCACCCAGCACCACAAACACATGATAACTAAAACCAATCACCAGCAAGATAACCACCACATGGGACAACCCAGTCCACCAACTGAAGTCGCTCTTCATGTTGACGTGGATGTTTACCCTGTCTTCGTAGTAATACTCCTTCGCGTCCGTCTGCGCGGTCATGAGCACCGCCGCCAACACCTTGGTCAGGATCTCGGGCTCTCTGAACGTCGTCAGCCTCAGCTGAATGAGTCCCCGCATCCGCATGTGACTCCTCAACGTGTCTTTGTCCACCCGCTTGGTACCTATGTCCGCCACGTGGTCCTTGGCGCTCACTTGTGTCACCTCCATCTCTCCGTCACGGACCAGATATTGATGCCAGATCCATCGCGTCTGTAGATGCCGTGCCCGTCCAGGTCCACGTTTGTATATCATCCCCCTCGTTGTTGCAGACTCCGTCTTCAACTCCAGCGTGATCTTGACCTGATCCTTTCTCGTCTATGCCGTTCCATGCAGCACGTGCTTGATGGTGAGACTTATTGCCGTGCCCGACAGCATGGAATAGAATTCCGACTCCCCGCTTGATAATGTTACCGCCGTTTGTACCCCACTCTCCAGCAGACGAGTGCCTAAGCGAATACAATCCGACTACATATTCTTGCTGTTCGCCCCTTGTCCAGCCCAGCTTGCGTCCACCGACACCTTCACCTTGAAAGTCATCTCCTGATGCGGGTAGAGAATCATTATCTCGGCCGCACCCTTCAGGTACCTCA